ACCGAATTTACTACTTGGTCGGTTACACCCTAGAGGCTCTCAACTTTCAAGATCCCGTCACAGGAGGCGGCAAGTACGACTTAAAGGACAACACAAAGGCAAGGGAACACACCCGCAAGGCAACCCCACGGCCAGATCCACGATCTAGGCCCCGGATCCATAAGCTCGAATATTCGCTTAGGATACGGAACCATCCACGGACGCAGAGTGAAGATTTTCCACTGCTGCTCCACCCCATCCCCACGTCTCGCCAAGACACTCAAGCTTCACCACTTGAACTCTTCGGAAGTTACCGAGAGAGCAGATCCCGCCCTACCGACGGGTACACAAGGTGAGGAAAGTTCAGCAGAACACGGATCATCGGGGGACCCCCTCCGTTAGTCGGTGTCTGGGCGCAGTTGGTAAGTTGGATCTGGCAATCTCGCAGATTTTGCTGATCCCGCTACACCACAAGATCACCGAGTGTTCAACACTCGGCTGGAAGAAATAAAAGGGAGGCAATTCAAGCACTCCCAGTCGTGCAAATAGGCAACAATAAGCCGTCACGTAAAACCTCCCGATAATAATCGGCCAATACACAAAGTCTCTTGGCCTTGCCGGATGAACCCTCGCTACAGAGCTTCGAGTTCACCGACAGGCATAACACACTCAAACAAGCTTGACCTGACGCTTACCTTGAAGCCGGACGTCGCTCTGTGTGCTTGAGTGGAAATTCTGTTCTGTATTTAAGCTTACCCTTTCGGGTCTATTCCTAATAAGAAGTCCTAATCAAGTATACAAATATCAAGTGAACAATGATCCGTTATGGATCTTCTTGCATGCCAAGCGTCGTCTGCACTGTCGCATGAGCATCTTTAACGGTCCGCGCCCTGTCCCAGACGGTTAACGTGTCTTCCAAAGGTCGCTGAGTATTCCGCGAACTCATCCCAACCGCCACTGAGGGTTCGTACCGTAGATGGTCCGCTGAATGCGAATCCGGCCAGTCCATTATTAATAATAAGGACAGCCTGGATTCAGTGACATAGGGCCGTATCCGATATTTGCTGAAAACTCGGAGGTGACGCCGTCGAGTCCCTTGCACCTTGGCGTCTCCGTACATCACCCGACCGAGGGTTCGTCGCTTGAACAACTTGGGCGGTGTCACGTCTTTGTCGACGGGTGATAATCCGCAACCACGGAGAAATCACTACACCACATATACCTCCTCTTCCTTCAAGGGTCGGGTAGCCCGCGGCTGTTCAAGGAGTACGGTCTTTTTCAGTGGCTGCAAAAACGGTAGATAGGAGTACTAGTAAGATGAAATAGAAGTTTGTTTGATTGGCTTGGCTTCCTCTTGAGTAGAAGGAGAGAAATAAAAGAGTAAGAGCTAACTGGAAGAGAGGTCTAACACCTTCTCGACCTTACATACACTACACTACTTCTTATACTAAGAAGAAGAATTCACTTCGTTTGTCGTCAGTCCTCGTGGGACAACGGGGAGCTCAGGGAGGGGGCTCGATGACGCGAGGTGCTTTGGTCCCACGACGCCAGGACACCGGCGTTCGGAGATCACCTTATAGGACCACCCTAACGGGCTCGGTCAGGGGCACGTGCGTGGTCCAGTTCAACGGGAACCATCCTGACGGGACGGCCGGACGAGGAGTAATTACAGGGCCTCGAGTCATCCCGTCGGGAGGCAGAGCTCCTGAATGACCCCTCCGTTCCTGGGTACGGGACATTAAGTTCGGCCCACCTTGTTTCAGCCATTCAATCGATTGGACACATTGTGACGTTTGTTCCCTAACTTCCTCACTTACTGACGCGGGTTTCACTTGGTACACCTACTGGCGATACCGACCCCACACGTTTTGGTACACCTTTAACTTTCTGTCACAACTTTAGTGTATCCACTCACAATTTGTCATTTCCCCAAGATAAAACCAGATACGTGATCATAGCCAGTTTCACTGTAGAACTTCAACGAGCTCTTCTTTTCCTTTTTCTTGACTATTGTACTTGTGCACGCCTAAGCGTACGAGCTTTTAAGACCACGGTCGGTTTCTCGTCTTGCTACTTTTTTTTAAGACCACGGTCGGTTTCTCGTCTTGCTACTTACTACGTCAAACAGTAACTGTACCACACACCCCGAGGGCAGGTGCAAGCCGCGTCTGTGTGTACTGGTTTCAGCTACACTGTGTCTACTTTGCATGGGAATTTGGTAGGCAAATCCAGTGTCCGCTTGAACGCCGTGTCCATGAACGGTGGTACCACTGCAGTGCGCCGGTCCATGTCGTCCATAGCCTTGGCGACTTCCTTGCTCTCCAAGTCCATGAATGGGAGATTGAAACGCTGATTTCTCCTGCTTCTGTCGTCATGAGCCTCCTTCTGCTTCTTGTCGAAGCAGCCGCGTGTCTTGAGCGAAAACAACAGGTTGCATATCAGGAATACGCCGCCGTACAGGCCGCCCACGATGTAGCAGTTGAATTCAGCGTTGCTGGTGTTCGAATGAAGCCCGTTCACGTACTGTGGTTGGAATCGCAACAGCAGACCAAAGACTGGCATGAGCAGCATTCCAGCCGCCGACAGAGCCATCGCAATGCGTAGGTGGTTGCTCTCCATACAGGTCATGACACAATAGTGTCTCTTCCTTAGTGAAACGAAAAGATAGGAGCAATCGCAGAGCGGCATTTCGTACCCATCTTATAGCATCTACTTACTATTAATAATGCTGTAGTAGTAAAAGATGTCTTATACATGGATCTGTTGCTATTCATTTGCCTATCGTCATTGTCCTATTCGCGTGTGCTGGCAGGTGCCTTGTGGTCGCGAAAGCTCTTCAGCTCGGCGAGTCTCACGAAGCGGTGGTAGATGAGCGGGTGCAACTGGCTCAGTCGTCCTGGGTTCTCGGCGAAGCATACGAACAGTGTCTTGATGACGGCCGCGATCACTTGTGTGGCTAGTGAGATGGTTGTGTAGCACAGCGTGAAAGACGCCAACGTGAAGAAGATCGCGTGCGAGGACGCACCAGCTAGAGCTGACGCCGTCAACGCACTCATGACGCCAGCCCATCCATTGCCACCGAGCAGCAAGATGCGACTGGTTAGATCGTCATCGACAATTGCTTCCACGCCGTGATGTTCGATCAGCTTCCAAGCGTCGTGTGCTGCTACGTAATAAGGCTTGTTGTAGCCCGCAATGTGCACAAAGGAATATTTGTGATACGTGCGGATGAAGTGCTCCACCCGCTCTGAGCGCAGCGCCATAAATCGTCGCGAGAGAACCGACTCGTCTCGACGAGCCCAGCGCAGAGCATTCCACACAAGATGTGCCAGTGGACACAGCAGTGAGCCAATACAAACTGAGCCAAATGAACTTGACATTGCGCAGCGTGCGTAGTGCAGCACCACCGTCCGATCAAGATAATCAGTACTTGAGTATTGCTGTGCTTGATATTTCCTGTCACCACAAGAAGAATCGTTGTTTTCTGATATGTTTTCGCGAATGTCGGGCGATATTTCGGTCGACTCGTTGCGGTAGTACCAGATCATAGTCGTACCTGAGGCCACGATCGTGATGATATTCTTCAAGATATTGGACATCCAATAAAAATGAAAGACCAGATAGATCATCGAGAAGCTCCAGGGCGATACCTCTCGTCCAACATTTCCAATGGTCGTACAGATCCAGCTGGCCCATATAGTGTAAGCCACAAGTACGACACACGTAGCGTATCCAAGGGCCGGGTGAGTTACCAAGAAGTCTACAACCAACTCGAAGAAAACTGCCACGAAGTCGAGGCCGTGGTTCGAGCGAGTGTACCACACCAGGTCCATTACCACGACGCCCGTGCACACGATACCCCAGAACATACCGTTACTTGACTCAAGCAGAAGAAGCATGACCGCCAGAGCCGACAGTCCAGCCATGGAAAAGATGCACGAGCCCTGCACGAAGCGCAGCTTGGAGTAGAAAATAAATAGCAGCAGCCAGCCCAGCGCGAACAGCACGTTCACCACACATAGAGACCGCAATGCCACACCCACATCCGCGTCATCCTGTCCCACGCTCGAGTGGTCGTCTAAGTCTTTTAGGCCACCCACGACTTCACGGCGTTCTTCTTCGAGCTCCTCACGCTCGCCGTTCGTGCGGATGCCACCGGTGGTGAGCATCATCAGGATTAGATGCACCACGAATAGCCCCACGAAAGGCACGTCACGGAACATAAGCGGAGAGTGAAGCGACGGCAACGGACGCTCGCCACTGGCTGAGTCTGTCATGGACAGCGGGATGAGCTTCGAGGCAGACGCCAGATCGTAGTTCGCGTCGTCCTCTTCCTCAACCTGAGGCGTGGGGGACAATGACAAGTCCTCCATGGCTGCCACTGGAGACGTAGGTACCTCTAGAGGACCATTGGCGTCGTCGATGACGATGCTCGACGGCCGCGACGTGGGTGTCGCCATCGCGTTCGGCGGCAGTTGAGCGAATATTGAGGAGGAAGCTACTGTAGCTAAAAATAGGCCCGTCTCTGTTTTTCAAGACTTGGTAAACGGCATATTGCATTTACTGAACCCAGCTGTTGTCGTCATCTCGCACTGCAATTGACGTGAGATTTGTATCGAGCCTTACAAACCTCAAGTGTTATCTCCGTCAAGAAGAGACACAACCTTATTCGAGCTCTCTCCGGCGTGATCCTCGTGCCGCGTCGGACTCCCCCGCCCTCCAGAGCCATGGCCAACTTCGACGCCATCGACCTGCTGCTACGGTACGAGACGCCTCTCGTCAAGGACATGGAGCCAGATGACGACGTACTCGAGTGGGTGGCCGCCTATGTGGGCAGCGAGGGCTTCCAGGACACCATTGACAATTTCTGCGGCGCCCACGCAAGTCACTTCTCGATTCTCCTGACCAAGGGAGGACCATCCGCTGCTGATCTGGACAAAGTTGAAGTGTCAGTATATGATCCTCTGTCTCTCGTTGGCCTTGTAGTTTACAGTAGTGTAGACTGACGTTGACACTCTGACGCAGGACTTGGAAGGAGCTGCACGAGGCGTTCATTGACACGGCTAACGCCCACATCGAGGCGTTCCTTGTCGATAGGGGATTTACCATGGACCAGTACAACACTCGCTGTGACGAGGAGATTGCGCTATCTGAGGAGCGACAGCGACACACGCGGCTCAGTTTCTTCGTGCAGATCTTAATGGCCTGTTGCGAGTACGAGCAGTTCCTCAACCTCATGAAACGTGTGGCTGACCCCGAGTATTACGACAAGAAGGAGCTGCAGTATGAAGCGGAGAACCTCGTGTATGAAGCCGAGGAGAAGGGAGCCACTAACGCTCAGCGGGCTGTGGGAGCACAGGCCTTCTTGGATTTCTTCCAGGCCAACCCCGACTTGACGCTGGACGAATTGACGCAGGAGTTTCAAAAGAAAATGCAGCTCACGTGAAACTCTCCCTCCCTTTGGACGGCTTCACACCTGTTTGTATCATTTAACCACGAGCCCAGTCCAGTAGTTACAGTAGAAGCACATGTTGCACTCAACTCAACACCATCGAGGCGGCAGGAGGCTGAGAAGACCGGCGCAATAGAGTGAGGCTTCGATAGGAGCAGCCCATCCGTCTACCCGTCCGCTTTTAATAGTAACGTCAGAAGTCAAAATGAGATCGAAGTGAAGATCAATGATCACTAGAAAAAAAATGGATCTATCTATTCGTTTAAGTTGTTGGAATGGAACGAGTTCTTGTCTCTAGGTAGCAGCATCACGTTGAGCAATGGAATCCGAGTGGAAGCAACACACCAACTCGACGATATCTTGGCATTTGATATCAGTAAGGTGGGACTCGGGAAGCAGGTGAAGAAGATCCTGCCAAACGAGTTCTTGGAATCGAACACGAGCGCTAGCCGTTGTTTTCGTTTTACTTGATACCAAGTTATTGGCGATGTCTTCATTGCAGTATCGGATGGCTTGACACACAATATGTCATATACGTCTCGAAAACAAACATCCTCGAATGTTAGTCTTTTCTCCTTCGATCCTGAACTTTGCGACCTTCCATGTTGAACGAAATATTATATTTCTTTTCCATGGCCTGTGCTTGTAACGGGGTGCGTACCCAAAGTATACCCCTGGTTACATCAAGCTACCCTGCTTCCCCACCAAATGTCGCACACCTCCCCGCCTCCGGCCGCGCTACTAACCAGGGTCGGGCAGTCCGCGGCTGTTTGTAGAGCGGGGCCTTGCGTGGGGCGAGCGAGGAGCGGGATGTAGAAGTAGAACGGTAACGAGCAGTAAATAGTGAAAAGTAAACTTGGTTCCTTGTTCTTTGTAGTAGGTGGGATATATACGACTGAGAAACTAATGCGCCGGGCTAAAACGGGGAAAGGGTCGATCGCGCTCATGAGGATTACACCCCTTCTAATACGCTCACCTGTACTCCTGGACATGACTTCCAACCCAACGTGACACCCGGTTGCCTCGATACTCAAGACAGGATATAGTTCATGTCATCCGTCCTTGAAGCTGGCGTCGCAAGTGCAAACTCCTTTTTCAATGTCTTCACGATTCCCTCTGCACCAACAGTACCTCGCAGTCGGCGCTTGAACAGCTCCCACTTGATACAGTAGGACCCCGTGTGCTTTAACACGGACTTTACCTTCTTCGCATCTCGTGCACGCTGCTAGAACGATCCCTGCCTTCCCGGGTACGGGACATTCTCCCCCACTTGAAGTTTGCCGTCCTCGGCGAACGGTGCACCGGAGGCGATGAAGTAAAGTCCGGGGAACAGAACCATAAGCAGCACGGTTAGGAACAGACTTATCGTCGTGGTCACGGCGGCAGAAAACGCCAGTACCACGCGAACACTTCCTTGCTGAGTAAACACTTGCTACCCAGACAACAGCATGGTTCACGATTCCACCTCCAGCATCTCGATCGTCGGAACTTTCATCCAGCGCGGCTAGTGGTCGCTTGAAGCGTTCCGAGCAAAGCTCCTTGTCACACACCCTGCTCTCCTTGGCTACCTCCGTAACCATTCCATTAACAAGGGTACTCATATCCTCCTTCATTGCCACCTTGGGGTTCGACGGAATTATCCTTATCACCGTCGCGGCACCAGTTGTGGTGTAGTAGAACACACAAATATCGTCAGATGTGGATTCCTTACACAAACCACAACGAATCGCCGAGTTAGGTCGGCGGTTTGTATGGCCTGCGCAGAGGGTGGTCCCCTCGCGGTCCGGCCCTTCCGGGACAGACGAGTGGCTCGCTTCCACCCGGTTCCGACTAACCAAGTCAGATCACTTCCGAGGCTCCGCCGAGTTTGGTTCGGCTGAGCTCGTTCACAACCCTGTGCCCTCCACCAAAGTATGGACGACGGCGCGCGAGCGCTTTTACAGGTCACCGAGCGCAGAGGCAGCTCAGCTAGAAGTGTTACGGCACCCGGGCTATCCGACGTACCGGCCCGCTGAGTATGCGGGACTTTCTTTCGCGCGTAGCGAGACTTTGTCCTACCCGGACCGACCTAATCTCTTGGCGCTACCAGTCAATACCCTACAAGCTATGCCTCTCGAGTATTGACGGCAGGCATAATCCAGCCCTATGCAGGGACTTACCGGAAAAGTGTACACGTGTCTTGGACTAGGAAAATTCTGCTCTGTTATCTTCTGGGAGCCCTTTCGGCTCCCCCTATTTAATCCTATGCTTCTCATACAAATATCTAATGAAATGTAGTCGTTTCGGATCTCTACCGACCCTTCAGCTGAGTTCCGGCGACCGTTGAGCTCAGCGGCTGTCCGGATAGCATATCCGGACAGATCGCCGAGTACTTACCGTGATCCTTGGCTCCTAAGCTCTGGGTTATCAGACCGAGCCGATTCTTGACCTAAAGTAGGTCGGCGTATGGTCGAATCTGGAAATCCCTACACCACAACTGCCCCGGTTATGATACGAGCCGAGCTGGTGAGTGTCTTAATCCTTCATTTTGTTCTGCCACCGTTGGTCCGTACTCGGCTGATGACGTCTCGCGGCTCCCCACCACCTTCTTTGGTACGTTCGTTGCCTCCGCTGTCACTCACTTGGCAGCTCCTTACTCTTCGCATGTTGTTCCAGCACAACCCGTGGCACCATCCTTCTTCTCCAACTCCTCGTCGAGGTGAAGGCGTGCCAGCTGAGTCGATTCCTCGACCCGTCGGTACTCGTGGGGTCAGCGACCGGCATGAAGCTGGGCTGGTTGACCTGACAACTTCCCATGAGTCTGACGCGGAGTCGGCAGAGTCTTCTCGCGTGCGCCTTCCTGGTCCACCGAGCTTGCCGGGCGACACCACTTCGGGCGCCACCAATCAGCCAAGCTCGGCTGCTCCAGTGAGTCTTGACTCCCTTATGGCCAGAATTAACGAGCAAGGGCATGATCGCCGAGAAGAATTGACCTTCTTGGCGAGGCTCATGGCTTACGGATTTACTCGTTCCGTGGAGCCCTCCGATCCCGTGCAGCGGCGAGCGATTTTGCATGCTGCTTCCGCGGGGGAACTGTTGGATATCTTGAAAGGCAACTACGCCGCTCTTGATTATCCAAAGATCATCGGCGATCTCCAAGCTGACAATCAAGCTGCTCAGGAGGAGAACCGCGCACTGACTCGGCGACTGGACTCGCTTGCTCTCAGCAATGTCGACTTGTCAACTCAGCTCTCGTCGGCTCAACAGCAAGTGTCTCGATTGGAGGCTGCTGCCACGCAATCGGCTAATCTCCTCGCGTCGCTGCGAAAGGCTGTAGCTCTGAGTGAGGCAAAACTTGCTCGGGCCATTGCAGCTGAGCAGAGCAAGGTTGACGCTGCGTTGGGTCAGGCCCAGCTCCACCATCAGCAAGTCTTGGATCGGGACGCCGAGATCGACGTCCTTCTCCGATCCATTTCTGAGAGGGATGCGGCGTTCATCACTCTTCAGGGCATTGCTTCCAAGCACTTCGAACAGCTGCAGGAGTCGGTGCGGTTGTACAGTTCCACCGGTACTCAACCCTTGCGGCACGCTCAGTCGGTGATCACTGAGCAGCGGGCTGTGATCTTGCGACAGAAGCGGCTCATCCGTCGGAATGGTATTATTCCGATGCACGATCCTCACATGGCTGCTGCTGCTGGCGGTGGCTTGCAAGTTCCTGGGCTTGATCCGTCCGACCTTCTCCTCAACGCCCGGCTGTGTCGTGTCTTGGAGTCTCGCTTTCCTGAGGTTCTCAACATCCCCGCTGGTGAAACTCGGCGGTTGGAGTTGATTGTCCATCCTCGCCGAGATGCTCCAGTGGCGAGTTCCATTATTGGTCCTAGTGTGGTTCCCTCAGCTAGTCAAGCGTCTTCGGCGACTTCATTGGCAGACTCGGCTGCGGCTCCAGTCAGCTCAGCGGCGGTAACAACCCAGGCTGAGCCGACTCTTGCTCAGCTTCACCGTACGCCTTTGGCAAACTTGACCTCGACTCAGCGGCTTCGGCGTTATGCCAACCCCAAGTCTCCCACTGCTGCAGGTCCTCGTCATCGTGCACCGGCGCCGCATCCGCCTCAACCGTACGCTTGTCCACTCCCCGGAGAGGATGGACACGAGGCTATCAGTACCCTTTTGCACTCAAGTTCACCTCAAGCTACTGTATCCGATGGAGGAAGGCCTCGCTCTGGAAAGTCCCGTCGTCGGACTCGGCGGAAGAAGGTTCGTCACCTTCAGCTGAGTTCTGCTACTCAGCCCGCTGTCTCTGCTCGCTCTGAAGACGACGATGACGCTTCGAGCGAAGCTGAGTTTGAGTTTGAGTTGCCTGAGCCGCCCGCCGACACCGTTCCTGTAGTTGCTTCGACGACTTCGGCGGGTTCTTCGTCTTCTGGTCCTCCGGTGAATTCGTCAGTCGCGGCTACTCGCCCACCGCCGATATCTTCATCCGATGTCGTGGCTTCACTACCTGTCCCGGCTACGAGCGTGTGTGCCCCAGGCTCGACTTCGCCCATCTCCGCTGGGTTGCCCCAGTCGAGCGCACCACTCAGCGTCGTGCTAACGGTGGTTGGACGCTCCCAGTCGCCCTCTCGGGGTCTGAGCGTATCCACCACGCCGACTGACTTAGTGACTCCGGCCGTGAGTGTCCTCAGACCGTCTCTCTCTGTGACCACGGCCGTGTTGACGTCCCCATCTGGGCGCCCTATCCGGAGATCTGCTGCGACCGCCCGCACTGTGACTGCTCAGCTGCTTGAGGATCTCGACGCGTCTGACGACGAGGTGTTAGGGCCTGGTGATGGTTCTGTACCGTCCACCGGCTCGACGAATCCTGCCGCTGGGTCGCTCTTGGATCCCATTTCCTTATCAGAGAACTCGGCTGGCAGTCCTTCAGGTTCCGACTCAGCGACCGCAGATGCTCGTCGTTCTGCCCAAGCGAGCAGTCTTCATGCGGCGATCTTCGGTCCTGACGACGAGATGAGCGATGGGTCCTTGCCGCCGAGTGATCGCCGCTCCTCGCGGCCTTCATCGAAGGATTCTGGTGACGGGATGAGTTCTGCCTCTGCGCCGGCTTTGGGGAAGCAGCAGCATCGCAAACGTCGTGCCTCGTCGAGTCCTACCGGTCATCGGTCGAAGCGATCCAAGAAGCACAAGAAGCACAAGAAGCATCACAAGACGCACCGACACCACAAGCATCGGC